TCGATGACCCCGGGGCGTGGTCCCGGCGGCGGCGCGGCCGTGACTGTCCCCCTGCCGAAGTGCCAGCGGCTCAGGGGGGGTTCGCCCCTGTTTTCTGGCCCCCAGCAGCAAGAGCACCCCACCACCATCTACAGCCAGGTGCAGGCAGGAGCGGGCAGCTGGGCCGAGATGCTCGCCTGACCCGCCGCGGCCAGTGAGTACCGCCAGCGCCTCGTCCGTGCCGGCACCGGGAGGGCTCCATCCTCGTCCCACCGCCCCCGGCGGGGCCCAGCTCTGTCCCCGCACTGACTGTCCCCAATTTGTCCCCGAGCAGGACAGCTGGAGCAGGACAGAGCAGCAGGACGCGGACGGCCGAGCCCCCATGACGTCAGGCAGGAATGGCCGCCGCACAGCGCCGTGGACTGACGGACACGCGTGATGTCCCCTCCTGGCTCCGTGTCCCCCCACCTCTGCTGTGGCAGTCCCTGGGGGCTGCCACATCCCCTTCCCCCACCCCAAGAGCAGCCCGGCGGGGACGGGGGTGCGGGATGGGCTGGGGGGGACCCAACCCCCCCCCCGGCTCAGGGGTGACTCCAATAAAGATGGGTGACGGCGAGGTGTGGGCGGATTTATGGGGGGCAGAGCCCCCCCGGGGCACCCTTTTTGGGGGGACATGGGGTGACACGGGGGCTGGCACCGGGATCGGGCCCCCCCGCGCCCCCCGGGCTGGGCGCGCCCCAGGGCCGAATCCTGCGCGGCTGGATCCCCGCACGGCTGGATCCTCATCCAGCCGCACCCCTGCACAGCTGGATCCCGGTAAAGTAGGATCCCTGCACAGCTGGATCCCCATGCAGCAGGATCGCCACACAGATGCATCCCCATAAATCGGGATCCCCGCACAGCTGGATCCCCGCACAGCTGGACCCCCATACGCACCCCTGCGCAGCTGGATCCCCCCACAGCTGGATCCCCGCACAGCTGGACCCCGTTATGCCAGGATCCCTGCACAGCTGGATCCCCATACAGTCATTTGCCTGCACAGCTGGATCCCCATGCAGTGGGATCCCTGCACAGCTGGATCCCGATAAAGTGGGACCCTTACACAGCTGGATCCCTGCGCAGCTGGACCCCCACATAGTAGGATCCCTACACAGTTGGATCCCCGTAGTCACACCCCTGCACAGCTGGGTCCCCCGCACAGCTGGATCCCCATACAGTCACACCCCTGCACAGCTGGATCCTTGCACAGCTGGACCCCCATATATCAGGTTCCCTGCGCAGTTGGACCTCCACATCACAGGACCCCTGCACAGCTGGATCCCGGCACAGCTGGATCCCCATACAGTCACACCCCTGCCCAGCTGGACCCCCAGACACCAGGACTCTTGCACAGCTGGATCCTGGTAAAGTGGGATCCTTGCACAGCTGGATCCCTAGGTACCAGGTTCCCCACATAGCAGGATCCCTGCACAGCTGGATCCCCGTACACCTGGACCCCCAGATACCGGGCTCCTCGCACAGCTGGATCCCCTTCAGTCGCACCCCCGCACAGCTGGATCCCCGCACAGCTGGATCCCCCACATAGCAGGATCCCTGCAGAGCCAGACCCCCAGATACCGGGATCCCTGCACAGCTGGATCCCTGCACAGCTGGATCCCCAGATATCAGGATCTTCATACAGCTGGATCCCCCTACAGTCATCCCCCTGCGCAGCTGGATCCCGGCACAGCTGGATCCCCCTACAGTCACACCCCTGCACAGTCGCCCTCCTGCACAGCTGGACCCCCGCACAGCTGGACCCCCAGATATCAGGATCCTCATACAGCTGGATCCCCCTACAGTCACACCCCTGCACAGCTGGATCCGGGCACAGCTGGATCCCCCTACAGTCACACCCCTGCACAGGTGGACCCCAGATCAGCTGGACCCCCGCACAGCTGGACCCCCAGATATCAGGATCCTCATACAGCTGGATCCCCCTACAGTCACACCCCTGCACAGTCGCCCTCCTGCACAGCTGGACCCCCGCACAGCTGGACCCCCAGATATCAGGATCCTCATACAGCTGGATCCCCCTACAGTCACACCCCTGCACAGTCGCCCTCCTGCACAGCTGGACCCCCGCACAGCTGGACCCCCAGATATCAGGATCCTCATACAGCTGGATCCCCCTACAGTCACACCCCTGCACAGTCGCCCTCCTGCACAGCTGGACCCCCGCACAGCTGGACCCCCAGATATCAGGATCCTCATACAGCTGGATCCCCCTACAGTCACACCCCTGCACAGTCGCCCTCCTGCACAGCTGGACCCCCGCACAGCTGGACCCCCAGATATCAGGATCCTCATACAGCTGGATCCCCCTACAGTCACACCCCTGCACAGTCGCCCTCCTGCACAGCTGGACCCCCGCACAGCTGGACCCCCAGATATCAGGATCCTCATACAGCTGGATCCCCCTACAGTCACACCCCTGCACAGTCGCCCTCCTGCACAGCTGGACCCCCGCACAGCTGGACCCCCAGATATCAGGATCCTCATACAGCTGGATCCCCCTACAGTCACACCCCTGCACAGTCGCCCTCCTGCACAGCTGGACCCCCGCACAGCTGGACCCCCAGATATCAGGATCCTCATACAGCTGGATCCCCCTACAGTCACACCCCTGCACAGTCGCCCTCCTGCACAGCTGGACCCCCGCACAGCTGGACCCCCAGATATCAGGATCCTCATACAGCTGGATCCCCCTACAGTCACACCCCTGCACAGTCGCCCTCCTGCACAGCTGGACCCCCGCACAGCTGGACCCCCAGATATCAGGATCCTCATACAGCTGGATCCCCCTACAGTCACACCCCTGCACAGTCGCCCTCCTGCACAGCTGGACCCCCGCACAGCTGGACCCCCAGATATCAGGATCCTCATACAGCTGGATCCCCCTACAGTCACACCCCTGCACAGTCGCCCTCCTGCACAGCTGGACCCCCGCACAGCTGGACCCCCAGATATCAGGATCCTCATACAGCTGGATCCCCCTACAGTCACACCCCTGCACAGTCGCCCTCCTGCACAGCTGGACCCCCGCACAGCTGGACCCCCAGATATCAGGATCCTCATACAGCTGGATCCCCCTACAGTCACACCCCTGCACAGTCGCCCTCCTGCACAGCTGGACCCCCGCACAGCTGGACCCCCAGATATCAGGATCCTCATACAGCTGGATCCCCCTACAGTCACACCCCTGCACAGTCGCCCTCCTGCACAGCTGGACCCCCGCACAGCTGGACCCCCAGATATCAGGATCCTCATACAGCTGGATCCCCCTACAGTCACACCCCTGCACAGTCGCCCTCCTGCACAGCTGGACCCCCGCACAGCTGGACCCCCAGATATCAGGATCCTCATACAGCTGGATCCCCCTACAGTCACACCCCTGCACAGTCGCCCTCCTGCACAGCTGGACCCCCGCACAGCTGGACCCCCAGATATCAGGATCCTCATACAGCTGGATCCCCCTACAGTCACACCCCTGCACAGTCGCCCTCCTGCACAGCTGGACCCCCGCACAGCTGGACCCCCAGATATCAGGATCCTCATACAGCTGGATCCCCCTACAGTCACACCCCTGCACAGTCGCCCTCCTGCACAGCTGGACCCCCGCACAGCTGGACCCCCAGATCCGGGCCCCCCCCGCCGATAATGGCGTGTCGATGTCGCTGATGCCGATTTCCTTCTGTTTCGCAGTCAGCAGGAGGGAGAAAATGAAAGCAGGCTGCAGCATTGTGGATAAGCCAGAAGGAGGAGGAGGTAAGGAAGTCTAAAGGCTGAGTTGTTCAGCTGTTACGAATTCTTTTCCCAGGATAAAGGAGCTCAGGCGGGATTAATTCCACCTCTCCTAAAAGCTCTCGTACGTGGGCAAAAGCCGTGTGCGAGCGAGGATCGATCAGACGTCTGCTCCATGGGCTGTCGGCGAGTTTTTAAGAGCGCCGGGCTTAATATGCAAATAAATCTTCCCGGGGATGTTTTATTTGTAAGGATTTGGGATCTCGAAGGTGGATTCCCTCCGGTTTGGTACAGCTCATGCCTGGTTTTGTCTCCGTCGCAGCCTGTGATAACGGTGTGGGTGGCGTTGGAGCGTGATGTGACTTCTTCCACGCTGCCGGAGCCTGAAATTGTGGCCACGATGATTTGGAGGAGAAAAAAAA